GTACAGATAGTAGCAGAGAAGAAATTAAAAATTTATTATTCATTGTTGCTTAAATGTTCAGAGAAACATTGAAGAAGAGCGAATTTTAATGTCACAAAAAGTTTCAGACATTGTACTAATTACATACACGAGAAAGTTTAATATTTAGTTGAATGTCTCATGTATTTGATAACATGATAACATTATTTCTCTGCTACTGCTCAATTTACAAAGTATAATATGACGTAATGTAATACATTTTTGTTATTTCTTTGAAATATATGTAGAGCTTAGATGTTAAAATTGTACCAGTGTCCGGAACTATTTGTGACCGACTATACATTTGGGTAACTCGCCGTACTAATTGTAAGAAACGAAGTTAGTATGAGTTTCTTTTCTTACAATCAGCTAACTGAATCCCGCCCTTGAGTTAAATCCTCGCACGTTTCGAGGCGCCCTCTCTACACATAATTTGTATTCCTTATTACGTGTGTCTTCAAATCATCGAGATCGATTGTGTTCACCTAATTGTTATCTTGTTGCATCGATATATTCGGTTCGTCTCCTCATACATGTGTATATATACAGTATAAAGTAAAAGAGATCGTTAATAACATTTACCGAAGTATCGTCTAAAGTCTAAATCTTATTGTAACCGATTCGATAAAAACCATTGTTTTCCAAAGTTCCATTTCGTCGGGCAATAAGTCGAATGATGTCCGTGGGAAAGTACACGGCATGTAGCGATGCATATGGAATGTATTGTACATACATATATTGATGAAATAATAAAGACGCGGCATTTTCTCATTCCTCTGATTCATTCCCGGTTATACGAAAATGTAATTTCTATATAAACCTTAAGTTCTGACTGTAAATACACGAGGTCTCGTCTTATTCGAATAAGGCGAACTTCGTCAAGAATGTCTTCAGCAATTGCTTGAGCAATTACTGTGAATAATTGCCTGTTCGTAATTCGTAAGCCCAGGTACTCTTCAAAAATCGATCACCAGATCGTGCGCTTTAGAAACGGCCGCGTGTCACGTGGTATATGGTCGAGGCGCGGAGATTCAAATCTTGCCTTAAACAGTTACTGTCGTTCATATTTTTAAATTAATATTGTAATGACGAATGCAATAAGTTTAATTCGTATAAATAAGTTTTTTGTAAAAGAATAGTAAATGTGCTTGCTTACAGAAAACCGGAGTCACAAACGAAATATAAAAAATCATACTTTTTCTTAGATATTTCTAGAAGATGAGTGTTAGTCTTAGTAGAGGATATCTATATGATTACGTATTACAAACAAATTCTAAATATATTTATAATTATAGGCCTTGTCATTCGCTACTTGAAAACAAGCTTTTTCGTTTATGCTACTAAAGAACAAGGCACAATACATGTGGATGACATTTTAAATATATTTAATATAGAACTTTGTACAGAGCATCGTTGCACGGACACTTCACAATGCTTAGGTGCTTATTCCACTGTTCGTTTATTCTGCTGTGCGTTGTGTTGATCCCATAGAGATTATATACATAGAGGAGGTAAGCCATAGATTTGTAAGACTTCTCCTCTTCCCGTGTTGTCTCCCATTAATTTTTTTCCCCCCACTTATGTTACTCATGGTCATTGGAGACATGCCTAATAATGCCATATGTAAGTGGGGAGAACACATTGAGCATACAGCATCATACAGTATTGGGGAGAGCACGGGAGGAGAAGTCCTGCATTCTGGCAGCCCTGCCTGTACATACTAATATCATTTACATGATCAATATTGGCTTCAGTTGTACACGTGTTGAGATTTTCAATAATATTTTGGCTTGTCATGTCTAATAATACTGGTACTTCAGTAATATTTTGATTTGTTATATCTGACCATACTGGTACTTCAGCAATATTTTGGTTTGTTATATCTGGCAATACAGGTACTTCAGTAATATTTTGGTTTGTTATATCTGACGATACTGGTACTTCAGTAATATTTTGGTTTGTTGTATCTGACAATACTGGTACGGATTGAATATCATAATTCTCCAAATCATCATCATCATCATCATCATCGCTGAACACATCCTCACTGAATCATACAAATATTTTAAATTGTTTTAACTTAAGTACTGAAAATTTCTTTAAATAAATGCAATGCCTAGCATAAAACGTACCTGTTTGACTGAGACTGTAATTTTAAGCATGGATATGCAGTAGAGCGTAGAAACCGTTTCACAGATTCTCCAACAACTTTATAATAAATATCTTTTTTTTCAAAATGCTGACTGCAAATAGCGCTTGTCTTGCTCACTTCTCGGCCAATACTTAAAAACCACTTCTTTCTTCTCTCATTATCTCTTGGAATACTGAAAATATATTAACATTTGAATCATAGCCTAAAAATTGTATTTCTCACATAGATTACAATTTATTTTACTTACCTGTGCAAAGAAATGTCTGGTATCACCCCACTTTCTAATTTGCAAATACAACAAAGTTTCACCATTTTTAATTTTGTATAAAAAATCCCTAATATAATATAACAAAACCGTATACAACACGTTATGTTGCTTACGACACTTTTCTACCTCATTGTAAACATATGGCATCTAGGGATCTCAGAATTTATCCCGCACGGCTCGCTACCCCTTTTTTTCGCCCATATTTCGATCCCCATTACTATTCTCCTTCTGCGCCTTCGCTGACCATGCCTATAGTATACCCCCATCAAGTACCAGTCCCCACCATGGTCGCGTCGTTCCCACTTTCCGGCTGAGGGATAAATTCTGAGATCTCTGATGGCATCTCCCCACCAAGAACTCGGTTAAACAGAGAGAGAGAACCACTCTACACGTTTTCCTCTCTTTCTAATCGCCATCTTTCTTTGGTTCACTTTCTCTCACAGCGTGCGCAGTCTATCTGCATAAGTTTATAAGATTCACTGACGGGCCTACCCCCATCACCGGAGTTCTCGGACCAATACGACCGTGCTTTAGATGCCCGAGACCCAATAGGAAACGTGAACGTTTATGTAGATCCCCCCTTAAACGATCGAGAAATCCTCGATCCTCAGCGGCGCAGCGCCAACAGCGGATCCCTCAGTTTGCTGACAATGAGATATCGCACGGACATACGTTGTACAAGTGTATTAACCTTTCCGTTTCTTGCCCCTTGTCAGACAGCATTCGACGGAACCTTGGACAATTTAATAGCCTGCCAAGTGTTCGTCGAAGAATGAGCGAGGACATTTAGTAAATCATGGACGCGATGCTGAAATGTTAAAAATACAATGGAGCTCGGGCGATGCGATTGGAGCGAATATTTATTAAACGTGCGACCATTTAACGTTTTTTAACAGTTATAAATGTCACAGTGCGTGAAATAAGTTAACGAAAAAGGTGTATAGACGAATAACCGTAAAGAGGGAGGGGAATGATGAAAACGAGAAATGGTCTACTGTTGCACAGTGGATATACGTTCTTTTCAAATTCCAAGTTTCTCTCTTAGTTTTGAATTTAAACCTATTTATCTCGTTCTGCGTTAACTCGCATTACGCTAACAATCATGTCAAAAATTGATGCGCCGAAATATGTGACTGCGATCTACTCGTTCAAGGGAAAGAATAACGACGAAGTACGTTCGATTTTCTGCTTAATTATGAGATATCTTCTTGTTTCTTCACTGCTAAATGGTTGCATCTTTTTTAGTTATGTTTCAAGAAGGGAGACGTGATAACGATAACACAAACGGATGACGAGGGTTGGTGGGAGGGTACATTGAACGAGAAAACAGGCTGGTTCCCATCTAATTACGTGAAGGAATGCAGAGTTCCAGGTATTAAAGAAATATAAATCTATAATCCTAAGAATCCGAAGAATTCTAAAAATTATTTTTTCTTCTCTAAAGAAAACAGCGTTCTGGCTGTGAAGGTTTCGCCTGAGAAGATTCTACAGGAGTCACCAGTGCATCAAAAACTAAATCGTGACATCGTATTAAAGGATATTGTAGATTCCGAGAGGTTAAACGTGGCAGAATTACAGGGTCTTATAAATAATTTTTTACACCCTCTGGAATCTGCTAACATGTGAGTAAACATTATAGCATTCGACGTACAGTGCAACCAGTCAAATAAAATTTGCTAATAAATATTGAGCGTAGATTGAACAAGGATGAGTACAAGCAACTTCTGGGCAATATAAATGAAATTCTGGAAGTGCATCAACGGCTGCTGTCCAACTTGGAAACAGCCACGGCACAAGGATGTGGTTCGCGGATCGGAAATCTTTTTTTGACGCTAGCTCCGAAATTGAAGTCCATTCATACGACTTATTGCGGGAATCACCCGCGAGCTGTCTGCATATTAGATCGATATAGGTATGTACGTAAATCATAAAGCTGTACTCGAAAACTGAGGCTGCGTTTCCTTTGCAGGGACGAGTTGAATGATTTTATGGAACGTAGCGGAGCAATATCGCCAGGTATACTGGTGTTAACAACCGGGTTGAGCAAACCTTTCCGACGATTGGATAAATATTCTGCTATGCTTCAAGAATTAGAACGATACACGGAGAAGAACCACCCTGACAGAGGCGATACTCAACGTAGCATAGTTGTATATAGAGACATAACTGTGAGTCCCGTTCGAAGAAACGCTTCGTTTCCCTTACGAAATTTCTATATTCAGATAATCGTACATACAGGATCGATGCGCTTCTATACGAAAGCAACGGGAGTTGGCGCTCCAAGTATTAACTAGTGGCATTAAGGGATGGGAGGGCGAAGAGTTGAACACTCTCGGTGAAATTCTTCACGTGGGGTCTGTCACTTTGGCAACCGGAACTACCGGGCTGGATCGACGAGACAGATACTTTGTACTTTTCCCCGCGACTCTTCTGGTTCTCAGTACCAGCCCCAGGATGAGTTCCTTCGTTTACGAAGTAATTATTCGAGACTTTCTTCTTCACACCTTCTTGTTTCAATTTACGTGATTATGGAATTACGATGCGTGTCTGTTTTTCCAGGGCAAACTTCCGTTGACAGGTATTACTATCACTCAAGTGGAGGACACCGACGAAGTAAGAAATGCTTTTGAAATTACAGGCAAGAATTTTATGAATGCACAAGAATGTTAAAATAATTGACTGTGGAGTTTGTTCTGTATATTCTCTGTTCTGAACGGTTTCTTCTTGGTTTCTAGGACCGATGATCGAGAGTATACTCGTACTCTGTAGCACTAAAGAGGATCAGCAACGATGGATCGGTCTTCTGATTCAAGAACAAACGACGACAAACAATGTAGTAAAATCGCCGACAGCATCACGCGTGAGTTACATCAATCTAAATCCCCCGTACGCTCGCCTATCGAGGTATTTCGCAAAGTTGATCAGGAAAAAGATTATACGTCCTGAACTTTTAAAGAGGTTGCTCTATCTACAATATGTGTTGAAACCAGATATGAGTACTGTAAAAATGCGGAGAACTAATGTAACGTCGTATGCCCTGTTCCCTGTACGAAGGGATAGTCAGGATCGTTGTTCCAGCGACTCGAGCTTCGAGCCGCGTGATATTAAAACAGAACGGTCGTCCCTCGGTACAACGACACTGCGTAAATCTACTCTAACTCTCGACGTGAGATATGACATAGTGGATATCGATCTTAGTACTGCAGGGATAACAGACTCGCCTCCGACGGAGTTTTCATTTGCACAAAATAGCATACGCGAGATTAGCAAAAGTTTACCATCCGTAGCCGCCTCAGTCTCTGTAGCGACCGGTTTTGACAGTAATGAAGCTAACGACGAGCGAATACATCGCTCTCGTTTCACCGATACTTCTCGCTCATTCCCAGTTCGACGTAAACCTACTCGGGACAGATTTGACGAAATGAATGAACAGAACTGTTGGAAAATGGTGAGAGGTATCGGTAAAATCGACATAAATCCAGTAGCTCATCCGGCGGAATATGCTTGCAACTCGAACGAGGATTCGCAATTCGAATTGTGTACGCGAGAGAAACTCGAATTGCAAGCGAACGCTTTCAGCGTCGGATCGTCCGATTCAGGAATGGCCGAGAGTTACCGAATGAATTCCTCGGAGATCAATTCTTCTTGTAAATCCTACGCGTGCATCGACAATAAGTATGAAACCGAACGGTCTAGGTTAAGAATCTCCTCTGGCGAAAGCGAGAACGACGATAATAATTTTGAGAATCAGTGCATCTGCACGTCGCCGTTCGATTCCACCCTCCGAGATAGCGCTCACTCGTCCGATTTGTCGAAACACAACGACAACGTTCTGAATTCGCCGAGCTGCGAAGCTCCTGGTACGATTATTTCGTTTACGAGTAAAGTAGAAACGCAGGGGAGTAAAGATTCCTCGAACAAATGCGAGCGTGTAACGCAAAGAAGGTTCACGCAACCGGTACCATTCGCGCACCAGACTGTCGTACGAAAAGTCGGAAGACAGCCGTATCATCCACTCGAGAATAAATCCGATGGAACGAATCAGATATATACGTCAGGATTGTATGCCCATTGGTGGTTGAAGAAATCTGTACCGTTGTCTGGATACTCGGATCAAGGCAAGCTTCCATAGCATGGCTGTTCATTTTTCTTTACATTCACGTTTAGTTAACGTTTTCACCCGTTTTTCGCTACTAATTATATTTCTCTCAAGTGCGTTCACACAATATGATTGTACGTTTCCATTTCACAGCCATGTTGTGTGAAGTCAAGCTCTCGCTTTGCTAATGATCCATCATAAACGATCCATTTTTAACTTGGGTAGGCAGACAGTAGTTCATCACATCGTTTAACATGCTGTCGTGTGATAGAGCACGTTTTCAAATTGATTTCGTTTCAAACGGGAGCTACACGACCCGATTCTTCTAATTCGCACCGTTTTCTTTCAGATCTGCAGCCAGCAGAACGGGAAACAACAGCAACAGCAGCAGCAGCAACAACCGCAACAACAGAAATCGATTACGGACCCGTCTCTAGGAATTAAAACGCCTTGGAGCATCGCTTCGTTACGACCGGCACCTCCTTTTTATAACTTTAGAGTACTTGGTAAAATTGATATCGGCTTGGATTTATCGCGCGCACCACGTAGTATGCATTTCAAACTATAAGTTGCTCCTGATAAGATTCATTTATCGGATCAGCGGGCGTAAATGTGTTTTATCGATTACAGACGAGAAGCAGTTTGAAGAGGACGCGATCATATTAAAGGTGATCGAGGCGTACTGCCTTTCCGTCAATGCCAGGTTCACGGTGCATTCTGGAGAGTCAACCTGTAGGTCGTGAATTATTAATTATTACTATTTAACACATTGTGTACCGTATGGAAATTTCTAAGACGTGTGGAAATATCGGAGTACTTATCAAAGGATCTGTTGACCAATAGTATCTTCTTCAGAGTCGGAATCACTTGAAGCCACTCTACGCTTCCTTACAGGTTTAATAATTTCACTATCACTACAATCACTAGAATCGTCAAAACAGTCATCCACATCTTCAATCTCACTAGAAATATCTGATAAATTATCGTTAAATACTTCCGCAAGTGTATCAGTTTCGTTGGCTTCTTTCCTTTTTCTGAGAGAGGGCTTTCTGGGAGATTTCTAAAAACGCCGATTGCCGATTCGAACGACCAAAATACAATGTGACTGCAATACTTTATGGGTTCGTGTAAATTTTATAGTTTTTCGTAAATTGACCTGCACGGTTTCCACCAATAAGATTTTCTTCATTCGACGTGGATAAGACAGTGTGTTGGTATTTAAGGTCCTTAACAGATAGTGCGAGAAAAACGAGAAAACTCGTGAGCGGTACGCAATGTGTTAATTAAGAAGATCCTACTGTACATTTATAATATCTTCTCGTTCCATTTTAGCAATGCTGGAAGACGATCTAAATAAAATACCGGACAGGTCGTCTTTGATGCAGAATCGGGGGAATTTGGAGCTGTGTAGCAATCGGTAAATTCTTATACAATTCTTGTACAATACCATGATTGATTATTATCGCACATTTCTTTTATATGTATGTTCGTTCCGCGTAGGGTATTATCGGAAACAGTTAGGACGTTGAAAAGTCAAATGACAGATTTACAATCGAAAATGTCATTGTTAATGAAACAATTGGACGAGGAACGGAGATCGAGGATTTTGCTAGCTGCCACAGTAAAGCGCAGTATGGGTGTTGCGGATGGTACGGTGCCTTGAATGTCTGGTTCATTTTGATAAGAAGAAACCGTTGTAATAGTTTGAGCTGTGTTTGATTAATTTATACCTTTTTGAGTTTCGCGTTGGGAATGTTTCGCCCGTCTTCCCGTAGTGTCATTGTAATAAAAAATATAGGAATAGTCGAGCAGCCATTGAAGATTTAATATCGGTACCTTCCACTTATCTGTGGCAGTCGTTTATGAAAATTCTTAACGCCTTGCCATATCATTTTTTATGACGAGTCAGGCTTGTGGTATCCACATTTGGTATGAAATTATAATAGACTCAAAATTTGAGTCAGACTCATTAACGTATGACAAGGGATTAAAAATTAACACTCAAAATAGAACAGAGAAATTTGATTAGAACTAATATATTGAACCGTGATAAAAATTAGTATTCGGTAAGAAATTAAACATTCGCTTCATTCACCTTGATTTATTTTTAAGACGTTCCAATTCATTTATTCTGCTCCGTGCGTGTTCTAACCTATGCCATGCCATTTGTAACACCTTTTGGCTGGCATACCCAGAACCTTCATGTGGTTGTCCTGAAGAATAATTATAATAAATTAATAGAAACAATCAATAACGATCATAAGCTTTCGTTATTCGAAGTTACCTGTCGAAACTTGGGTCAGATAATTGATTTGTTCGCTCAGCTTCGATTCGACGTGTCCTAACGTTTTTAGAAACTGTTGAGTTTGTGCCTCAGCTTGTTTTAAACTGGATTTCTCTTTACTGAGTTCTACGAAAGCTTGTCCTAAACAACAAACACGAATTTAATTAATCGAAATGCAAAATCGGATGAAGATTCGAAAACAAGCGTTAGAGAGGTTAATTACCTGCACATTGAAGACACAGAATTATATCTTTCTCGATCCCTTCGAGGATTTGTATTCTCTCCATCGGCGGCGTCATTTTTATTTCAACTTTTCAGAAGATGTACAATAAAATCGATTACAAACAAAAATTGCACAATGGAATCACAGCCGCTCAGCCCCGACGCTCCACGCACGCTGTCTTGCAAGGGGATGCAAAATATTTGAATTGTCAATCGATCGTTCAGGAGAGGAGCGCTGCTGTCACCTATTCTTCGTTCAAATATATTCAAAAGGAAGAAAACCTGGCCAACGAATATTTAAAGACGCTTGCCCCTTACAAAGTAAATAATTTGTATTCTTTAATTGGATAAATCTGAATCAAAAACGTTAATTTCCAACTGGTATTCAACCAGAGTAAAGATGCAACCCTGGTAAAGGTAAATAACAAGAATGAATCTGATTAAATTATGTTTCTTGATAGTAAACTTATACAAATAACTGAGGTGCAAATAAAAAGGAAGGGGTCTAGGAAAATGGCGATCATTCAGAATCGAAGAACTTGTTTATTTTTATAATTAGTGAGAATTCGAAAGGTCCTGAAAATGTTCTAACTGTTATTAGGTATATTGTTTCTAACTTTCAGTTTCGATTCTTCGTTTCAATTACAGTTCTCTTAAAATACATATTTTTTTAGCGATTAGAAAACTTATATCTAATAAATTGTTAATATCTGCTAGATAAAAATGAGAAATTCCATATGTTGAAATAGCTATAAAAACTGATTATACATGGTATCCCAGAAGAAATGTTAAAGCCGGAAAGGGGTGATTCTGGAGGTGTTTGTGAACAATAATTTCCTTTGGTAAAATGCAAAATGAGACACGGTTTTTGAATTATTAACGAAAAAAACTGACCAATGAGTTGGCTCTGATTGTGACGTTGCATAGCATGGGCCCTACACGCGCTCTTCTTATTGTTCAGTGTTTTTCGTTAATAATTCAAAAACTATGACTCATTTTGCATTTTGGCAAAGGGAATTGTTCAGAAACACTTACAGAATCACCTCTCTTCGGCTCTAATAGTTTTTCTGTGATACCCTGCATATTAGACGTCGATAGAACCGAAAAACAGCTATAGAAGCGAGACTAAAACCGATATAAGGCAGGGCCGATATATCCAACAATAGTTATGGCATTTTTTTCGGTTTTCGATAACTGTTGCCAGAACCAGAGTCGATATAACTGTTTTCAACCTCTGGTAATTAGCCAACAAGGATGGAATGTTCGTCGATGAACTGATATTCAGGAATGTCCATATTAGTGGGCGCAGGACCTCTGCGTATGCGCCCGGACCCATCGAAATGGGATGCGTGGCAAGGACAGTAAAACCCACCGGGGATCATACCGGCGTTAGGAAGTGGGATGCAACCGAGATGCGTACAGATGCCTATAACGACTAGCCATTCCGGGCGTTTGACTCTTTGATCATCGGTTTCGGGATGTCTTAACGTAAGGACGTTAACTTGCCTTTCTTGGTTTATAATAGTTTGGGTACTGAAAAACGTTGGACAGTTAAAATAGAAGGAAATCGTCGATTTCGTATCGGTGTCTCACCGGTGATATACGAAGACCGGCTTCCCGCGCCATTGAAACACTGCCGTTTTTCCTAACCCTATGTCCTTCAGATTGATCTCGATCTGCGCTTCAGCGATAACGTCGCGAGACGCACCAAGAAATTCTATGTAGTGCAACGCGTGAGACTTAAGCACGTACATCCCAGCAACTGCGAGCACTGAGAAAAGAATGATCCATCGCGTTATCGTTTCTATCGAGATTCACTCTCGCATGTCTGAGTTTTACCCCCTCGTACCGAAAGACATCGCGTAAGTCGTTGTCCTCCGTTCGTCAGCGCTTCGCATGGATGACACGTTCGGCTTAGCGAGGGACTTCCGTCGATACTCTTGGAAGTTCACTTTCGGTAGATCGCTGTGTGCGTGACGATGTTTTAAGTAGTACGTGAGAAGGCTCACGGTCAACCGGTTTTCCCATGATCGTATCGGCAGGAAAGAACGCAACATTTTCCTTATCATCAAACGGTTTCTGACGTTTCTGTTTACGTCCGACGATTGTTTTCATAAGCTGATCGCATCGATCGTCGAGGAAAAAGAGGATCGGTGAATTATGAATAACGGAATCTGTTGTCATGTTCAAGCTTTATTAGAAGCAAATATCTAATTAAGTATTGACGCTGACGAAAAATTTTTTCTTCAAAATTTCGAAAAATGCTTCGAATAGAAGTTGTTTTCCTTCTAATTTTGATATTTAACGAGTTACGTATGATTATTTGACATTTTATTGATGTTGACAAAATCTGACCATCCCAGCATCGAAACGGCGAACTTTTGGAAAAAATTTCGTTTTTCCTCAATAACTCCCAAACCGTTGGATATACGGAAAAATTGCATACAACCTTTCTTGTAGAGGACGACGAGATCTACAATTTCTGTATAAAAGTTTGTCGCTAGCATCAATATTTAACGAGTTATTGACAAAAAACGAAAAAACAGTTTTTTGCAAATTACTCGTTAACTATTGACGCTAGCAAGAAACTTTTATATAGAAATTGTAGATCTCGTCATCCGAGAGAGCTAAATGGAAATTCTTAGATTAAAGTAAATACGCCACAAATAATTCTTAAAAACAGAGGAGATAACGAAATCTCTATACAGGGTATCCCAAGTAACATTTTTCACGATTTTCCAAGCACTTTCGATAATCTGACAAAAAATGTTTTCAACAAAAGTTGTTCAGTGTTCGATTGGTTATGCATTGCAAGAAAAAAAGTTGGAAAGAAATTTTTTTATTATTGTCAATGTCACCTTCATTTTTTTAAATGGCACTTTGTATTCTTGACTTGACAGTATTAGCTGGTATCAAGACGAGTTTAACGACTTATATACCATGACCTTTGGACAATCTTAAAGACAAAGAAATGAAAATTTTGACAGAGAATGATGGTCTGCTTGAGTGGATGATAACAACTTGTATTTATTTTTAAGACTCGTAATGACTCGTCACTTGCTAACTGAATTTCATAATATCTTTTTAACGAGAAATATTGTAACGATTATACGTAGGAGTATATAATTTTATTACATATTGAATACATCGACACATAGAAATTCGGTTTTTCTGTTAATGTAGCCAATCGATGCAGGCATGATGTAAAAACATAAGGTGTGTTCTTGCGCATCCATTTAAACAACTAATCACGGACGCTTCCACTCGTTGGCCATTTTGGATTTCTAACCAATCACGCTTTATATTAACAGAGCGAATTTTAAAATCGTAAACATGTCAAAAATTAAGTTCTCAGAGTGTAAAATATACGTGTGTTCGGACTAAACAATAGGTCATCGTACTTCCATTATAGCCGACGAGTGGAAGGCGCACACAGTGACGCATTTGAACACGTCGGAAGAACATGTTTTTACATCATGACACTATATACGTTTACTTTTTAAATACCATGTGTGTAATCGTAATATATAAGTACTACAAATAAATTACGAGATAATTCGATTGTGTGTAAGGTCATTCGTAATGTACACTGTAAATAAATTACGAGATTAGATTAGATAATTCGGTTGTGGATAATCTTAGGTCATGACTTCTTGTCGTACGCCAGGCATGTCGAATAGGTCGAGAAACGATGAACTTACAATTCATGATAAAAGAGAAACCGTGTATATAAACTTAACGATGGCATTTAAAAATTTTTCCTGACCATTTCTCGTAAATCTAATAAAGTATATGAGTATATACTTACAGTGATAGTAATGCAAATCATTATGAATTCTGTGTGATTTAATGTTCCTTCGTAGACCATATATAGGATGTCCCAAAACTAGTGTTCGGCTCGGATCCGGACGCCCAGCTTATTAACAATCTATCATTTTCCCATGCATTCTATTTGAATAACGATTAAATGTATTAATTGTTATTAATTTACTTGCATTGTTATTCATGTAGTTTATTATCCTTATTTTCTTAAAACGCTTCGTA